GCGTTTAATGATTTTTGTCCCTCCAGCACCACTAAAAAAATTGTCAGTATGTCAGATTTCCTTAAAGAAAAAGATAATGATTTACATCCTCCATCAGACCCATGAAACAGAAGCTTAATTCACAAATATTTTACCTTGCACTATTTTTACTTTATTGCATGGAGAATAATGTGACCTGAACAGGTTTTGTACTATCTATGAAGATTTCACAGGTCACTTATTTTATATCATGGGTTTAAAACCTGTAGGGGTAAGGTAAATAACCAGTAAAGTGGATTATATTAGTCATGTTCACAAGTTTAAGCAACCTTATTCGGAACATTTCGCCTATACAGTAGGCTTCAGTCGAATACAGATGGGCAGAAGACTTAAAAAACCTCAGTGTTGGCAAAACATTTTGTATAGATATACCCTAACTTGCGCTAGGTGTTTTAATTATCATCTTATTGGGTATTGTTAACATTATACATTCAAAACAGCAAGTGCACGGACATGGTTAATTTGTTGTTTGGCGTCTCATACTCAGCAGTGAGGTATAGAGGGAATCAGGCGCATGGATTTGTCCTAGTTGGAAAAGTGGGTCAAGTCTGAAGACAGGGCAAAGACGGTGAGCACCCAGGTCATTCTTCTCCCTTGACACTGCATACTCAGTAACTTTTTCCTGGTAATATATTCTGGAACTTCAAACAACCTGTTATTACATTTTTTTTTTTTTTTTTTTTTTTTGGTTATACTAGGTAATTTACGTATGTATGATAAATTGTACTGATGTGTACTGTGCTGTGTACTTGCTTAATAAGAACAGCAGGGTGTAAGAAACAGACCCAATGTCTTCACTGTGCTGGTGATTGAACCATGGATACTTTTGTGAGCTGAGTGAGCTTATCAGCCAAGCAAGGTACTAGTTTGGACCTTTGTGAGCACAAGGCCCACCCGGCAGAGACCTGAAGCCCCAAACAAAGCTAAAAACCAGTAATTCTCCACTACGTACTTAAAATAGGCCACCATCGGGAGTCTATCTAAAGAATAAAAGATTTAAGCAGTGGACAAACTATGGCAGCCTTCAACATATGTTCCTTTAATTTTTAATATCCATTGCAATTACGGAGACCAGATACTGTGCGGCTTAACTTAAACAAGACTAATAATAAGCAGAGCTGTGGAATAACCTAGCATTCCTATATCTACTGAACTATAAATACAGTAATGTGTAATTATGATTACAAATGCTTTTAATTCATTTTCTGCGTTAGTGTAACTTGTACTCATTCACGTTCTATATCTGCAGTGCTCACGTTACATTTACAGGTAATGTAGGGAGAGGTAACCTAAAGGGTTTATACAGCTCCTGTGGGAAATGGAAAGGCAAAAGTTTTTTAGGGTACAGGCGCACATAGTATAAAGTGATTTCATACGTTAAACTCAGCCTCTCTCACTTAGCGAATCAACTCATTTAACAACGACTGGGACTTACGACGGGCTCTCCGACCAGTATGCATACCTAAATCATATATATTTAAGCGATTTCTCTTCTGTTTAATACATTATTCAGTCACTACTGTTAAAAACATTTAAAAATATACCAGAAGAAATATTATAAATGATTGCTAAGGTAACAATTAAACAATTATCAAAGATGGTTGACACAAACCCACTACCATTATAGTTATGCTCCTCACTTAGCAACATATTCATTTTACAAACGTGTGGTCTTGGGTACTGAACTCCAGAGTGTAAGGAGGATGAGGTCTGTAACATATTTGTAAATTACCTACGGTATCCCCCTTAAAAAGTCAAAGCGATTATTTCCATTGAGGTGCCTTTGTAATATTTTCATTATTTAATAATGTAGCTCGACTGGGACATGGGGCACATGACCCCCCGACCCCCATCAAGGGTATACAGTTGTTATTACAATCAAAAAACGAAGAGCTAGCTAAACCCATAGCGGTCATGCAGGTAGATACAGTAGTTAGAAATCAGACACCGGATAATAACCTTATTAATAATTCAAGGAATAAGATAATAGATAATAAATAATAAAGATAATAAAGTTAATAGATAATAAATATAAAAGAATAATAAAGAAATTAATCAAGATAATTAAACACAGATAAAAATAAACATAATAAAGTTAAAAATACGTAATACATATATTTTTTTTCGCATTATACGGAGTAACTTATTTGACATATTACTAATAAAAATATTTTTAGGGATGAAATTGACTAGCTCCAGTTCCCCGGGAATTAGAGCCTGGACCGACGCCGTTCCTGGAAGAGAATGAAGATATTAAAGCTACTCACAGAAACAATATTATCGCAGTATGGTGGACAGGAGCCTTTGTAATTAATGAGAAAGTTGAGGCGAAGCAGAGGAAGGTGAGATCGCCAGGGTTACTCAGATGAGAGCGCTGACGGCGTTAACACGAGACGGAAGTATGCATCTCTGGTTAGCGGGAGGATATGTCAGCGGGAGAGATACCGTCAGCAGGAGGACACCGTCAGCAGGAGGACACCGTCAGCAGGAGGGATACTGTCAGCGGGGAGGATACGATGTGGGAGGATACCGTTCAGCAGTGAGGTTACCTCAGCAGGGGATACTGTCAGCGGGAGGCACCTCAGCAGGAGGACACCGTCAAACGGACACCATCAGAGGAGGACACCATCAGCAGGAGGAGATACTGTCAGCAGGAGGATACTGTCAGTGGGTGGGACACGTCAGCAGGGACTATAGAAGACAGCAGGACACCGTAAGGATGTACTTTACTGCTGAAGAAACACCGTCAGGATGGACACTAATACTGCTGGATGTCAGCAGAACACCGTCAGGATGGACAATACTACTGCAGGATGTCAGCAGAACACGTCCAGGATGGGACACTACTATGGAGGATGTCAGCAGAACACCGTCAGGATGGACACGATACTGGTGGAATGTCAGCCAGAACACCGTCAGTATGGGACCACTTCTACTGCAGGATGTCAGCAGAAACACCGTCAGGTATGGGACACTACTACTGCAGGATGTCAGACAGAACTCCGTCAGGATGGGGACACTACTACTGCAGGATGGCAGCTGACACCGTTCAGGATGGACAACTACTCTACTGCAGGATGTCAGCAGACCACCGTCAGCAGGATGGCACTATTACTGCAGGATGTCTGCAGAAAACCGTCAGGATGGACAACTACTACTGCAGGTTGTTCTGAGAACACCGTCAGGATGGACACTACTACTGGATGGATGTCAAGCAAACAACCGTCAGGATGGACACTACTACTGGAGGATTAGTCTGCAGAACACGTCAGGATGGGACACTACTATGGAGGATGTCAGCAGGACAGCAGACACCGTCAGGATGGACACTACTAATGGAGGCAGGATAAGATGGTGTTACAGTGGTGTTTTCAGGTGGTAGTAAGGCTGGAGCTTACACACTGCTACTACACGTCAAGTCTTGTTGACTGTCAGCTGCTGACACTGGCGGCTGCTCTCCGCACTGCACTTACCGCAACATTTAAATATTCAAGAAATGAAGAAGGAACACTACTGGAGGCTTACTGGCCCTGCTAGGCAGTCAAGGTCAAGGCACTAGCAAATACTAGCTGGTTGGTAAACGCACTCAGTGCAACAACATGTAGGTTGCGGGGTTCCGATCCCGGACGGGTGGATAACCATTAGCGACGTGTTTCCTGAAACACCTGCCTGTCCCTGTTCACCTAGCATAAATTAGTTACCTGATGTGGCTTTACCTTCACCTGCTGTCCTGTTCACTACCAGTAAAAATAGGTTCCTGGGTGTGTACTCAAACTGGTGTGGGTCGCATTCCTGGGGGATCAAAATTGACTTAATTTGCCCCAAAATGCAGTGCATAACAAGGTGCTTTTATATTGAGTAGGTCATTTATGTTAAGGCTGTATACTTGTACATGTACCTGCTCTGAAAATAAAATTTACTTCTATTAATTTGTAGTAGTAAACTAGTTTTTAGTTCCAACTCACTCCCATCATGTTTTTTGTGTGCCAATTTTTAAAATTACACATAATTATCACCTTCAGTGACAGTATTGGGGTGTTGTTCCTCTTTTCTACAAACTCTATACCAAACCATTGCTTTCCTATATCCCTTTTTAAAGATATTTTTTCAACTTAAAATCATTGTGCGAAGTCCTGTCTGGTTAGATATTTTTGCACGTTATTTTACAACCCTCTATTTGTACGAGTAGATTTATAAACCCCCACTATTGATAAACTTGATGTTGTAGTGGCACAGCTTAAGCTGGTTACAAGTACTCCCCCCCGACTGGATGTTGTAGTGGCCAGGCTTCTTAAGCTTGGTTACAAGTAGACTGGATGTTTGTAGTGGCCAGGCTTAAGCTTGGTTACATGTACTGACTGATGTTGTAGTTGGCAGGCTTTAAGCTTGGTGACAAGTATGACTGATGTCGTATTGGCCCAGGCTTAAGCTTTGGTTACAAGTATCACTGATGTTGTTGTGGCCAGGTTAAGCTTGGTTCAAGTAATGACTGTTGTGTAGTGACAGGCTTAGGATTGGTATACAAGTACTGACTGGTGTTGTTGTGGACAGGCTTAAGCTTGGTTACAAGCACTGTCTAATGTTGTGTGGCCAGGGCTTAAGCTTGGTTACAAGTTTGACTGATGTTGTAGTTGGGCCAGGGCTTAAGCTTTGTTCATGCACTGAATGAAGATTGTAGTGGCCAGGCTTAAGCTTGGTTTCAAGTCGGGACTGATGTTGTAGTGGCCAGGCTTAAGCTTGGTACAAGTACTGACTGATGTGGTAGTGGCCAGGTTAAGCTTGGTTACAAGTACTGACTGATGTTGTAGTGGCCAGGCTTAAAGCTTGGTTACAAGTACTGACTGAGGTGTAGTGGCCAGGCTCTTAAGCTTGGTTACAAGTACTGACGGATGTTGTAGTACCATGTCCACTATGCTTTTTTAGGTTGAAAATTTGACATTTCAGTATTTCATCTTCAGCGAAAGAATTGTTTTATTTATAATATTTTACATGTGTATTTAGTATTTACATATTGCTTACAGTAGGTAGAATAAATATAACTAGTTGATATAGTTAAATTATTCGCGTAATCAAATACTAATTTCTTTGGTAATATTCCACCTTGATAATATGGATTAGATGATGGTAGTTAGCTTACTAGTATTGCATTGATACACTTGTATGAAACAGTAGGGTAGTAATTGTTGTGTTTCAGGAGATGTACCCTTTTGAGCCACCATTTGTTCGTGTTGTCCACCCGGTTATCAGCGGGGGTTACGTGCTTGTTGGTGGTGCCATCTGTATGGAGCTTCTCACAAAGCAGGTGCAATTGTGATATTAGTTTCAAGTTTAACCTTTTAGGTGTGTAGCTAAACATTGAGCTATGTCAGAAAATGCTTCAAACTGAATTGAAATGCCAAATATTCAATAAAATCACATTGTAGCACCTTTTTTCTATATTTTTTATTAAAATTTAAAAAAATCATAAGTTTATTAAATTCAGTTTTTATTGTATATATTGATGTTTCAGAGAAACTGAAGACATTTTCTGACATAATTAAAATCACATTTAATTGAAAAATTAAAATACATAGATAATCACACATTTAATTTGAACTTGCTAACTTCCATTTAAATGGCAGGCAAAAGAAATGTTTTGAAATTCCCATTCTGTGCTCCAAAATGAACGTCATACCAGTGTCTGCGGCAGTGAAAACTGATCCCTAACCAAAACTGCATATTTGGCATACTGCAATTTTTGCTATAGACTACATAACAGATTAGTGATACAGTAGCTTTTACTTATCCAATATTGTACATGTAAAGTAGTAACCCATTCTTTAAAATTCTAAGTTGATTTCTTTCATATCATTTTTCACCATATTTTTCAATTTGGTTAGGCTAGGTGGTTGTCTGCTAGCAAATTAACCAGTTAAATAATGCCAGTACAGTGCTGTATGACCCTGGTGGGTTTAGGGCTTAGTTTTGATTATAATAATATAATGCCATTGGCAGTTTGGAGGGATATGTTGTGTATCTTTATACGTATATGCTTCTAAACTGTTGTATTCTGAAGCACCTCTGCAAAAACAGTGATAATGTGTGAGTGTGGTGAAAGTGTTGAATGATGATAAAAGTATTTTCTTTTCGGGGATTTTCTTTCTTTTTTTGGGTCACCCTGCCTCGGTGGGAGATGGCCGACTTGTTGAAAAAAAAAAATGCCATTGAATTCATAAAGATGACATATCTAGTAAGTTTAACTCTCATAAACACGATTGAATAAATAAAGATGGATGAATGATTTTCTCGTAGGGCTGGAGTTCTGCGTACACAATTGAAGCTGTGATCATGCAGATTGCGGCAACGTTGGTTAAGGGTAAAGCAAGAATCCAGTTTGGGGCAAACAAAGCAGGCAAAGTTAGCGTAAGTGGAACAATGCCCAATTATTTTTTCAATGAATTTGAACTTTAAGTTAACGATTTGTATAAATATTTTGTAAAAGTCTGCATTTTATATTAGCTTGTTTTCATAATCTCTTAACTTTGTGTTACTAATGTTTTAAATTTTCATTATCTTACAACTTCATATGTACCTAATATTTTAAACTAAGATAACTTACCACTAATATATTTATCTTTTCAAAATCATGTCTCCGTTACAGGGGCAGTATAGTTTGGCTCGGGCACAGCAGTCATTCAAATCACTTGTACAGATTCATGAAAAGAATGGTAAGTCTCACATTTTTTAGATTTCCCTATTTTAGTTTAAGATTCATAATGTGCTTAATGTACTAAGGTAAAAGGCAGCTAATTTGTGCAAAAACTTAGTAATGTAAATTAATGATTTTTAAAATATGGAATGTGCTGTAGGATTTTTGAGGGTTGATGTATATTGGAGCAATGTCTGGAAGTAAATAGATTTGTAATAAGTTTTGCAAGAGTAAATAATTCTGGAACATATTGGTATTATACCTGTTTATATGGAGTGTATGAAGCAGTCAAAGTACTAGAGTAGGTGAGTTGGCAAAATGTGGCAGTACTAGTTCCCTGGGATGGACACTAGTGTGTTGTCACTGGTTACCTGTGATATTACACTTTGGAAGCTTTTGTGAATGGATGGCTGTTGGTGAATATCTTTAACCCTCGTTTTTTTCCCTCTTATTATTTTCCTCTCTTGGTTAATTCCTCTCCATCTCGCAAAAGTGGGAAACAGGGTATTGACGATTGGGATTATCATTCCCTCCTATTTTGCTGATCCTCCCCCTGGCATAATACTTTTTTTTTAAAAAATTCCATATGATATTATTTGACAGGTTTATGTAAAAGTTTAGCCCACTAAAGGTTTATTAAATTAAATCTAGTGAGAACGCATTATTGCCAGGAAACTTTAATTATTAGTATTAGTGAGAGCTGTTAAATCAAGTGGTTAAGGCAAAACCTACAATTGGAATAGCTAAGATAAAATGGGAAAAAATTAGACTGGTTTCTCTTCCTTCCTTCCTTCTTGTATTCCTCCCTCCTCTCCCTATCTTCCCTGGTATTTGGGAAAAACCACTACCAATGATAAAAACTTCTGGTTTTAAATATTAGGCGGAATGGTTTGTGAGAATATTCATGGAAGGTGGTGGAATACATTAGCCAAGCTAGAAGGATACAGAGAGGGATTGCTGCATTTCTGTTCCCTTCTTGTTCTTCTGAATGGCACCCCCCCTGGCCAGGGCCTTACATGCCAGGGCTGGCTCACCCTCCTCCCAGGTAAACCTCCGTTCTCCCTGCCAGGAGCTGGGTTTCCCTCCCAGGCCTGGGGTAAACCCCCCCCAGTAATAGCCAACCACTGTCTCCCCTCAGTCAATCGTGGGGCAATCCCCGAGCTAGGAACCCCACTGCCAAGTGAAGCCCCCTCCTTCCCCACACCCTCAGCCCACTACAGGACTGGCCTTTTACCTCCTTCCCCAGGTTCAGGGCAGAACTTCACATTAAAAACCCCCCTAGCCCCGAATGTAATCTGGGGGGAGTTAATAGGGAACCCCACCTATCTTACGCCCCATCTATAACCCAAACTGAAACTTTGCAGAGGGTAGGAAACTTTCTTTTTCAGTGAAACGCAATTAGAAAATTGGTTATCAAAGATTTGGAAAGCTGAGAGAGCAGGAAATAGGGAAGGTGGTGAAGAAATGAGAAACCCCGGAGTGTGGAAATGTAGGAGAGAGGTGTGGTTTTTCGGATAAAGCTAGTAGAGGGAAGATTATTTGGCATTAAGAAGAATGCAAAGGTGGGGGTGAAAAAGGCAGAAAATCGAGTGGGGAAAAGGAGGGGTGTGGTTTAAAGTTAGAGGGGGAAGAGGGTTGTTGGGGGTTTGAGGCTTGGAGTGTCAAAGGTGCGGGAAAGCTTTATGGGGAGGAAAAGGGGTAGTGGGGCCTAAAGGTGGAGGGGGAAGGGGTTTTGTTGGTGAGGGGCTTGGACTTCCAGCAAGCGTGCATGAGCGTGTTAGATAGGAGTGAATGGAGACAAATGATACTTGGACCTGACGATCTTTGGAGTGTGAGGGTAATTATTTAGTGAAGGGTTTCAGGGAAACCGTTTTTCATATAGTCGGACTTGAGTCCGGGAAATGGGAAGAAACAAGGGCCTGCACTTTAAAGGAGGGTTTGGATATTGCAGTTTGGAGGATATGATGTGTATCTTTATCGTATATGCTTCTAAACTGTTGTTTTCTGAGCACCTCTGCAAAAGCAGTGAAATGTGGGTGTGGTAAAAAGTGTTGAATGATCATGAAAGTATTTTTTTTTGGGATTTTCTTTCTTTTTGGTCACCTGCCTGGGTGGAGACACAAACTTGTTGAAAAATATATATATATATATATATATATATATATATATATATATATTTATATTAAATATATATTTATATATATATATAAAATATATATTAATATATATATATATATATATAATATATATATATATATATAAAAATATATATAATATATATTTTATATATATATATATATATTTATATTTTTTTTTTTTTTTTTTTTTTTTTTTTTTTTTTCAACAAGTCGGCTGTCTCCCACCGAGGCAGGGTGACCCCAAAAAAGAAAGAAAATCCCCAAAAAGAAAATACTTTCATCATCATTCAACATTTTCACCACACTCGCACATTATCACTGTTTTTGCAGAGGTGCTCAGATACAACAGTCTAGAAGCATACACATAAAAAGATACACAACATACCCTCCAAACTGCAATATCCCAAACCCCTCCTTTAAAGTGCAGCATTGTAATTCCATTTCCAGGATAATCATATGAAATATTGATTTCCCTGTATTCTTATATAACAGTCACACTACTCAACGATGTCAGGTCCCAAGTACATTGTCTCATTCCTCCTGTAGGACCTACGCCGCTTGACTGGTTCCAAGCCCCTTACCCTCAAAACCTTTTACCCCCCTCTCCAACCCTTTCGATGCTCCCCCCCGCCTTTTCCCTCCCCTATTTTTTTTGTTCCATGCCCATTCTATTTGCAAACATCATCAGTTGACAACCACCTCAACAACCCCTCCTCTGCCCTCTGACTAATACTTTTATTAACTCCACACCTCTAATTTCCACACTCCGAATTTTCTGCAATAATAGTTCATAGCACGATTGCCCTAAACAGATTCTCCAAGCTTCCAACGCTCGCGATTAATTACCACCCAATTTTATACACCATTTATGCGGTTGGACTATATTATCTCATTAGCCCTTCTTGCCTCATATAACGGTTTTTTGACCACATATCCTACACAACTCACCTTTTTTTACCCTCATCAAATAAATAATTATAACACTTTTCATCCCTTCCTCGTTGATCCCAATATCTGAAACAATCACTTTTCTTATCCTCTCCCCAATTTGATATCCAATTTTTTTATCTAAAGTTTTGAAACCTATCAGTACTATTTTCGATGTTCAGTTATTTTACCTTTACACATTGTCAATATCCATACTTTGCAATTTAGGGAATTTAGAGAGGGTCCCATAAGCTGCATCGTCTCATTCCAGCTAATAACTAATGGCCACCCTCCGCGCCAGCTTTTATGCAGTTCCCAAATTAATCCCACCCCTCTCCCAAACCCCTAGCAATTTACTTCCTCTTTTTACCCATCTTATTAAAACCAGGGACATTCCCTCCCAGCTTGTCTAAACCTACTTTTACGGAATAGTCCCTTCTCTCTCTTAACCCTACTACCTTGAGGCAACCTCATCAAACTCTTACCATATAACTTACCACCTATTCCATATACTCACTCTTGCCCACATCTCCCTCCTCATCCCATCTACATAGCCTTTCTAAACCTAAATGCAATAAAAAACTCCCTATCTTTATCTAAATACTGTTCAATATAGCTTCACTGTAAACACTGACTACACACCCTACCCACTCTAAACCTCCTGCTGTCCGAATCCACATTCTGTCTTACCTCTAATCCTTTCAATTATAACCCTTCACACTTTCCTGGTATCTCGTAAGCTTATCCTCTATAATTTTGACAGCTTATTTATCCCTTTCCCATTCTATATTAAAGGAAATAATATATATCAATATATATAATATATATATATTATTTAATATATATAATTATATATTTTTTATTTAAATAGTTAGTAGGTTGGTAGACAGCAACCACCCAGGGAGGTACTACCGTCCTCCAAGATGAGTGTAAACAGAAGCCTGTGATTGTTTTACATGATGGTAGGATTGCTGTGTCTTTTTCTGTCTCATAAATCTGCAGATAACAGGATGTCTTGCTACTCCTACTTACACTTTGGACACAGTCACAACACGACATGTAACTACATTTTTATACACACTATCTAGTATTTTCTTTGATTTTATTTAATATTTTTTTTATATTATTTCCTTATATCCATGGGAAGTAAAATCTCCTCATATGAACTGGTGATTGAAAAGTATCATAAAACCGGGAACAATGGGCTAGTAACCCCTTTCCTTTAAAGATTATAATAAAATGAGAAAGAAAAAATTTTCAATTGGGCAAAGTGAATGTGCGAGGATGTGCAGATTAAAAACAAGAATAATTGTGGTTTGCAACTGAGAAATAGCTGTAGATTCTGGCTTTACAATAAAAACAAACGAAGGGGGGGGAGGAGTATCAGTTGTTTGGTAAATGGGATTAGGTAGGGTTTCAAATGAGTTAGAGCTAAAGAAGGTACTGCATAATGTAAGGATAAGTTGATGGAACAAGAGGGCTATAACTGATTAATTCAAGATTAGTGGAGATAAAATAAAGATTGATTGAAAAGTGGTTATAATAACGTGTATGCACCTGGAAGAAAGAAGTTAGAGAGAATAAGATTTTGGAAATGTTGATGTGAATCGTGGGGAGTTTATTGTGAGTGGTAAGTATAGTGATTGGATTTCAATGCTTAGTGGGTTTCAAAATGGGTAGCACGAGCAGGGTAACTAAAGGGAAGCAAGGGGTAAATGTAAATGGGGAGCTTTATTAGCTTAATTTAACAAATTTGTAATAAGTTAATACAAGTTTAGAAAAAAAAATAAATAAAAGCTAAGTATAAGTAAAAGTATCTATATTCAAATCCCAACCCGTGGATAAAAGGTTGATGGGTAGGCTCCAGGTGTACATGTTAAGTGGGCAATGATATACCGGTTTCCCTTTTCTTACTACATTTATCAGAGTAGATGCAAAAGATGGAGGGCAACAACAATAAGGGGGTCGAAAGCTGCTATTAAACCTAGG